CTAACCCCCCCCCCCCCCCATGGTAACTTTGAAAATATTGATAATTCATTAATAAATTTTAATCATACAGGTAATTGAATGTGTCATCTGCTCTGATATTTTTAATTACTTCTAGGCTTATAACATTTTTAATAGTATTTAGATATTTACATTGATAATAATAATAATAATAATAATTAATAATAATTAATAATAATAATTATTATTAATAATAATAATAATAATAATAATAAATAATAATAATAATAATAATAATAGTAATATTCCATCCATTCGTCCATTCATTTACTCACTCATTTTCTCACTCATTTACACTCACTCATCTTTTCACTCATTCATTCATTATTTCATTCATTCATTTATTCACCCACTTAATCAATCACTAATTCATTCATCCATTCATTTATTCATGCATTCATTCATTCATTTAATCATTCATTCATTTAATCATTCATTCATTTATTCATTCATTCATTTTTATTAATTCATTCATTCGATTTTATTTATTCATTCAATTATAATCATTCATTTTTATTCAGTCATTTATTCATTCATATTTTCATTCATTCATTTTCATTTATTTTGTTTATAGATTACTCTATTCATTAATTATTGTTTTTTTTTTTATTAAAACTACATTTTTTATTTTATTTTTTGGAACAGTGGTGGATTTAAGAGCGAGCCCAGCTGGTCTCCACCTAAAGTTTTCAAAATAACAAAAAAAATATGGAAAAAAGGAAAATTATACAAGGATACAAGGATACATTATTGATAATAGTAATTATTATATTAGTAATAATAAAACTATTAATAATAATAATAATAATAATAATAATAATAATAATAATAATAATAATAATACTAACAATAATAATAATAATAATAATAATAATAATAATAATAATAATAATAATAATAATAATAATAATACTAACAATAATAATAATAATAATAATAATAATAATAATAAAATATATATATAAATATATTTTGAGAGTGCTGAGAGTGCAATTTCCAATCATCTAAAGGTGCAATAATCATAAAATTTCTCGCCTAAGCCAAAACCGTGGTGGGGCTGAGGTGTACAGACCCACAACCTGGGGATTGGTCCCTCCCTGGGTCACCTTTATTTCAAATTTCTGGATCTGCTACTGAGTGGGTATGTAAGTTGTGCCTAGGCATGGCACTGCTAAGGTAGCAACTGGCCTAACAAGGATTATTGATACTATATATAATTGGGAAAAAAATCACCTCCCAACATAAGTATTTAATTTTAAAGAGGTGATGCTAAACAAGTATTTTTTTTACTTGGCTTAATTTAAATTAGTATTATTTTTTAAGGTTTTTTTTCTCCAATATTTCAACATAGATGGTATATATATTATTATGCAGTAACCTCAATTGGACTTATGATTGTATTGCGCACCCAGGCCTACCTCTCTACCAGCAATTTTCTACACAAATATGAGTTAGATTACTTCTCAGTTTAATCCTGCAAATTAAATACTGATCACGCCAATTTCATCCTCAATGTCCAGTATTCATACAGTACTTTGTTTTAAAGTACTTCACATTTTGACAATTCATTTAAATTCAATTTCAATTCAAAAATACTTTGTTATCCAAAGGGATATTCATTTGACCATGGTATAATATATCAAACAATGTTCAATGAATAAAATACATATAAAAATAGTTTAAAAAAAGTTTATACATGAAAAAAAAAAAATCATCAGGGATTTAAACAATAAGTGTTAGGTTTGTTTTCTTTTATTAAATTATTTAAGAGAAGGTAACACAAAAATTTGTGAAACAATAAATAGACAAATATTTAAAATCTTCAAACTCTCCGGACTTGTATAATCTATTATGTTTATATCATTATTTATTTATTATTTTATTATTATTTGTTTATTTTGTTATTATTGCAGATTACATACATTTATGTTTTAACTCTGGTTTACGTAATGTGTTTTCCACTAAATT